ACAGCCATGATGACCTTGCATTGGGGTTTAGGGTTTAGTTTGGAGGCTCAGGGGCCGACGGGCCATAGGCTATGGAGGTTAAGTTAAATACGCACCAGCAAGTGGTGGTCCCCCCATGGTGTCCCCCTCACGTTGCCGTTCATCGCGAGTTTCGGGTTTAGGCTGTCCCACCTCCCACCGTCCCCACCCCCACCTATGGTCCGTGGTGGGTTTTAGGTTTAGGCGATAGTGTTGAGGGTTTAGGTTTTCCACTCTAGGCTTTAGCGTTTATTCAGGATATCCTGAGTGGTTAGGGGTGCACGGCGGGAGTCAAATCGTCCGAGCGCCGCAAGAAACTTCCACACGCCGCGCCTTTCAAAAAATTGCCGGGCATCGCTGTCTACCCAGTTAAAAAAGCATATATATATATATATATGAACCTCCGAGACCGTGTAAAGAGGAGCGAATCCAGCCTCAACTGTTCAGGCGGGCCGACACTTTAAACTAGGTACAACACTATAGGGTTTAGGGTTTAGGGTTTAGCGTTTAGAGTTAGAGCTTCAATTACGGCAACTGGACTCCTTACTGTCAAGGCATCGGACAGAGGGTGAATCATGACTGTACTTATAACCCAATTATAACCCTATTAGGGTACTTAAAGGGCTTATAAGTGGGCTCAAAACGGCACTTATTATTGGGTTATAAGTAACCTGGCCCTCCAAGTGGAGCCAAAGAGCACTGTCATCCTCCAGACCTGCCTCTGCGACAGTCTCGTCAGGACTCAGGATATGACTCCTGGGTTTAGGGTGTAGGGTCTAAGGGTTTATGGTTTAAGGGTTTAGGGTTGCAGGATTCTGTTTCAAGGGGTTCAGGAAATTATGATTGGGGTTTATCGTCGCACCTTCCATGGCAGCGAAGCTCATGCGCTCGTCCCACAGGTTCCACGCGCGAAAGGTATATACACTTGGGTTCTACAAGAGCCCCTGAACAAATGTGGCCCAAGCAACACCCTAAAACCTTAAAGCCCTAATCCCTCCGCCCTAAACCCTTGAGGGCGTTGAAGGCTGAGGCCTGGTGTTGTATTTCTCGGTGCTCGAAAAGTTGATCTTGGAGACCAGGTAGAAACCCTGAACCCAAGCGATGATGCGTAGGAAACTATTGGAAACATGGCAGTGGCTTCGCCTCAGCATTGCTCAAAATGTATGGCGGCCGAGCCGGAAAAAAGACATCGTTCGGATTTCAAACCATTTTGAAGGCAAGAACATGGCTCAGCGGCTCAGTCGCGTTGGCTATTTCGAGCGTTTCACACCTGACGGGAACTGCTTTACACGTTTGATCACGCCCACGTTGGTGTGTGCAAAAGTGACCATTTGTTGGCAGGTCATGGCCACGTCGCAAAATCTGAGGCGGGCTATCGACTTGAAGCATATCATTTTGATAAAGGAGGTCAATGCTTCAAGCCCAAAGATTGCCTGTGACCGCCCCTGAGATTTAGGGAGCAAAGGGCTTTACATGGCTAACAGGGCTTTAGGGTTCAGGGGTTGGGTGCAGGGTTTTGGGTGTCAGGACTTTGGGGCGAGAAGAGTCCTAACACCCTAAACCCTAAACCCTAAACCCTGAACCCTAAACCCCCCCTAAACCCTAACCCTCATGCCTTACCCTTAGACCCTAAACTTCAGGGGCTTTGGACTTGCTTTGAACTTCAAGACCAGACCGAAGTTCAGTCTGGTGCCAATTTGGCTTTAAGGTTTGGGGTTTAGGGGGTAGGGCTTAGGGTTTAGGGTTTAGGGTTTAGGGTTTAGGGTTTAGGGTTTAGGGTTTAGTGTTTAGGGTTTGGGGTTTAGGGTTTAGATGTTGTGGCTAAGGGCAGGGGAAGTCGTCATCCCACCCATCTTTTAATTACCGAAGAGTGAAGAACGTGGGTGAAAAAAAACTCGTGCTGAAAGATCTGGCTATCCGAAACAGAGAATATCGATTTTACAGGGGGTGCCTCTTTACGGGAGGTAAACGGGCCCCCAGGCCCATGGGCCCAGGCTTGCAACGTTGGTGCTTTCAATGGCTGCTTCCCCTGTCCCAAAGCCCACGGTAGAAGGTACCAGACTAGAAGCCACATCGACCTCCGGAAAAACCCTGCCCTAAAACTCCCCGAGCCCGATCCCGAACACCCCAACTTAGGAAGCATTCGGGTTTGCAGGGCTTAGAGGTGCAATCGCGGTGATAGGGATAGGGCTTCAAAGGAGCTGCGGGAAGAAGGAGCTTCAGGACATGTAGGGGGTTTTAGGGTTTAGGGTTGGAGGTTAGCGTTTAGGGTTGGAGAGGTTTTGAGATTTAGGGTTTAGGGCTTAGGACGTAGGGTTTACGGTGTGGCCTTCGGGCTCACAGTGTGGGACTGCTACGGCTTCGGAGGTTTTCGCCTGCGCATCCTAACTCTTGGTAGCATGGGCTCGGGCGCAGCTCCAGGGTTTAGGGTTTAGGGTTTAGGGACAAAAGAGAACCTGCTAGGGCATCGTGAGCTATATTTAAACCCCAAGCAAGCTCTGTGAGGCGTGTACCGGAGTGAACGAAAGCGACTGGAGCATAGGGTTCAGGGTTCTACTATTCTCCCCTTAGAACCTTAATAACAACAATATAGTTAACATCCTCTTGGGGTTTTATATACACCAAAATAAAAATAATTCCAAAGGGTGTTTAGGGTTCTAAGGCTCCGGGAGTTGAAGCTTCCGGGCCTTTGGTTTGAAAAAGTCTGGCTGGCTCTTAGTAGGGAATGAGGGAATGAGGGCCCTGTATAATCCCTTAAAGGTTCTATATGGGGACCTCATTCCCTCATTCCCTGCTAAGAACCAGGGGAATGGCTTAGGTTTGAGAAAGAGGGCTTTGCGATCTTGGGATGTCTTGAATTTCGGGCTTGCTTCGGATTGGTGGGTCTGAACATCAGCTGAAACCCAAGCAAATCTTACACAAGCCTGAAATGTGTACTTACGCTTTACGATGCTATGGCTGGCAATAATCTTGCGCTACCACACACCATAGGCTCACAGTCTTAGTATGCGTAGAGAGTTGGTAGTGCAGGCTTTTAAGATTTTTAGCCTTGAGGGTTCTTTAGGCTTCAGTACTCTTGGACTCTTTGGCTTTCAGGATTTCCAGTTGGGATGTTCCCCCTTATACTGACAACCCTTCATAGGGATTCTAGTAACCCCTCTGATATTCCCTATTAAGGACTGTTAGTGGAAGGGGAAACATGCCAAATGTGGTATTTCGAAGGGGTGAGGGGCCTTGTTGTTCCAAAAACAAACACAAAAAAGGCACATGTCCAATAGCGTGGGCCAGCGAGGCGCCGACATCGTGAAGATCTTCAGGTGCAGAAAAAACGATGTGAAAAAGAAAAAACAACTACGATGTGACTCGTGGGTTTTGCACCCTAAACCCTAAACCCTAAACCCTAAACCCTAAACCCTGAACCCTGAACCCTAAACCCTAAACCCCGATGGTAAGCCGAGGCTCTCATGGACCAGCTTGCATCTGCCAGCGCTTTCCACACCTGCTGCCACGCAAATCTCGTTCACGGTGGTGCTGACGTCCACCTCACATGACCCTCGACCTAAATCCCTTAGGGTTTAGGGTTTAGGGTTTAGGGTTTAGGGTTTAGGGTTTAGGGTTTAGGGTTTAGGGTTTAGGGTTTAGGGTAGTATGTACTTGGGGCTAAAGGGGCTCCCATATAGTAGCTTTAGGGCCCAGTTATATACTGTATTTACTCGTATATGGACCCTCAAGGAATATAGATACCCTAAACCACAACTGCAAAGAACCATAACGGCGAAACGTTAAATTAGCCAAGAGGCGGAGACGTTGGCTACTTTCCCACTGAGCAGGCCTGGTTTCAGTGATGTGGCCCCGAAACCCTGAACCACCTAAACCCAGAACCCTAAAGCCCCGGTTTGCTAAAGCACTCTGGGGCTCCCCCGCAATGAAACTTTAAGACTTTGCCGGAAACTCAAGCATTAGGACCCTAAACCCTAAACCCTAAACCCTCAAAACATGAACCTGAAAATCCGAAGACAAGAGCGCAACTTTGAGCCCAGCAAAAGCTGCTAAAGCGGCTCGGGGGCTCACAGACACTCTTCGGACCATCACGAGCGTTAGCTCGAAGGGGCACCGCGAGCGGTGCACCTACGAAAAGCCATCACCATTGTTCTCACTTGAGCTGGAAATGCAAGGCCGGGTTGCTGGAAACTGACAACAAGAAACCCTAAACCCTATAAACCCTATAAACCCCATAAACCCCTGTAAACCCTACAAACCCTACAAACCCTATAAACCCTATAAACCCTATAAACCCTATAAACCCTATAAACCCTATAAACCCTATAAACCCTAAATCCTAAACCCTAAATCCTAAACCCTAAACCCAACAAAGCACTCTGAAGGCTTCGGGCTTGGGGGCTTATAATATAGGGAAGGTTCAGGATCGCACCGCAGGGGCTCCTGTGTAGCAGCTTTAGGGTCCAAGTGTAGGGCTTAGGTTTTAGGGTTTAGGGTTTAGGGTTTAGGGTTTAGGGGTGTAGGGGTGTAGGGGGCAAGTAAATAGGAAATCGGTATAGAGATCTTGAGGGCTCAGGGAGAAAATCTAGACCCAAAATTAACCCAGAAAACAAACAGGTGCCCTAAACCCTAAACCCTAAACCCTAAACCCTAAAGTGGCTTCTAATGGGAGCCTGAACCCGCAAAAAAGGGCACAAGGGCCTGTCTATGGGTCATCGAAATGAGGAGACATGTCATGCCCATGGATCCGGAGCGTGGAATTCTGCATTATTGGGGTTTAGGGTTTAGAGTTTAGGGCTAAACTGCCAGCATTGCCCCTATAGAAGCGCCAGACAACAACATGCAGGGGCTACAGATGAGGACTCGCGGTTCAGGGTCTGCACCCTGAAACCTGACCCCCCCGCCGCCTGACTGACACCCTAACCCTAAACCCTAAGCCCTGAACCCTAAACTCTAAACCCTTAACCCTGCATCTGGGAAGCCTCTGGTCTGGAAAGTTGTCAGAGGCCTGCTCCACAAAGAAGTCCTTACTTCGCCAGCAAGAGAGAACAAAAAGACTAAACTTTAGGGTTTAGGGTTCAGGGTTTAGGGTTTAGAGCTAGGGTTTAGGGCTACGGTTTAGGGCTTAGGTTTACCATGAACCCCGAAGCCCTGAAATGCAAAATGCCACTTGCTTGGCAAAGCAGGAGTCGTCCAGGCTGCTGGAGTCATCGTATGGCGACCGCTGAAGCCTCCAATGGCGTATACAACATAAGCGGCGTTTGGGGTTTGGGGTTTAGGGTTTAGGGTTTAGGTTTTAGGGTTTAGGGTTAAGGGTTTAGGGTTGCCCTAAACCCTAAACCCTAAACCTTAAACCGTTCTGGGTAGCAAGAGCCTCCAAGCTTCATGAGTTAAGTAGGGTTGTGCGTACCTGAATACGGGCTGAGTACATGATGTCGCTGTAGCTGCCGCAACCTATCTCTCATTGAGAGTTGTCCTAGTAAACGCCCTCCATATTATGAGCTCATATTCTGGTTTCCGGGAATGAGGACCTCCCAATATATTGGGTTCCCATATACTAAGGGCCCCAAGAAAGTACCCCTAGTATCCGAACCCCCCCCCCCCCCCCCCCCCCCCCCCCCCCCCCCCCCCCCCCCCCCATATAAGCACCCGTGAACTTTCAGCTGCATCCTCACACCCTTCCAATCTCCGGGTTTCGGGTTTAGGGTTTAGGGTCCAAGCTTAGGGTGGCCCTAGCAGGTCCCTTTGAAGGAGAAAACGGAACCCGAAGGCCTGACCGCTGATCCTGATCCTAAACCCTAAACCCTAAACCCTAAACCCTAAGGGTCCTTATAAAGGCTTCTTTGACTTGGAAAAATGGCCATCTCGTGTATCTGTTTCACGGGGCACCCCTAAGCCCTAAACCCTAAACCCTCAACACTAAACCCGAAAGCAAGTGTACATTTTAATAGGAGGGACGCCGGTAACGGCGAGACAGGGCACTAGGGTTCAGGGTCCCTGCCAGGGGTTTAGGGCTTATAGGGTTTAGGCTTTAGACCCCAAGAAGACTTAACCCCGAAGCGGAGTTCTTATGGGCTCTCGATGGCAGGACCTAAAGTTTGCAAGCCATACCCTAAACCCTATACCCGCCTCACCCTAAACCCTAAACCCCTAAACCCTAAACCCTGGACCATCTGCTGCTCCGGAGCTTGGTTCTCCAGTTTTCCACGAGCCAAGAAGAAGGACTAAACCCAGGAGTAAGCTAGGAATAAGAAAGGTGCCCCGTTTTGGTTTAAAGGGACTTCTAAGGGAACCTAACACTCCCCCCCCCCCCAAAAAAAAAAAAAAAAAAAAAAGGAACAAGGGCCACTCTGCATCCTAGAGGAGACGTTCGTGCCTGCTATGTGGAGCCCATTTAGGGTTTAGGAAGTCTGGGTCTTGCAGCGTTTGCGCCTTTGGGTTTAGGGCCCCATAAACTCAAGCATTCAACCCCTATGAACCCTATAAACCCTATAATTAAGCCCTATCAACCCTATAAACCCATCAACCCGATAAACACCGTCTAAACCCGATAAACTCTACAAACCCTAAACCCTAAACCCCAAACCCCAAACCCTAAACCTCTCACCTCTAGAGGCTAAGCACGGAAGCTGTGCCTGTATTCCATGGCCCGCCGCGGGGACTCCTCAAGGTTGCTCGCGGCTGTGGGAAGGTCTATGCTCTGAGCAGAGAAATTAGACCCCTACTAGGGTATAGGGTATAGGGTATAGGGTTTAGGGTTTAGGGTTTAGGGTTTAGGGCGTAGGTCTCAAGCCTAACCCTTAGCCCCAAAACCTTAGGGTTTAGGGTCCATGGATGTCAACACTGTGTGGGGTAGGGGGTTAGGGCTTAACAAAAAACAGCAAACTAAACGCTAAACCCGAAACCCCAGAGTCACGACCTATTCTGTTTCAGTTGACCTAGAGCCCAAACCTCCAAGCCCGAAAAACAAGGACACGACACACCAAACCCTATACCTCAGACCCAAACCTTACACCCTGAACTCTAGACACAAACTCAAACCCCAGACTCTAAACCCTCGCCCAAACCTTCCCCAGACCCAAGAGTAACCTGAGAATAAAACAATGGTTGCCCTAAACCCTAAACCTTAAACCTTCAACCCTAAACCCTAATCCCTGAACCCTACACCCTCTTTTCCGGGTATAAACGATAAGATTAAACACACTAACGCCCTGCGCAGAGGACATCCTTGGCTAGAAGTGGTAACAGAAGCTGCACTCATAGCCTTTAAGGAGTACCTCTCCACCAGATCCCCTGAAAGAGCCGACTTACTGGGTTTGAAGCAGTACCTGGCTAAACACCCAGAATATGCCCTGCATCTGGAAGCTGCGCCTACGCGCCAACCTACCATTCTTAAGCGGCACGAAAAGAGTCTCGGATGCGCATGGCGGCCGAAAAAAAACTAAACCCTAACCCTAAACCCTGAACCCTGAACCCTAAACCCTAAACCCTAAACCTTAAACCCTAAACCCTAAACCCTACTGACCGAAGCCATCGCCTCGCCACGGTGCGAAGCTGCAGAGCGCGGTCTCCGCCGGGGCCGGGACCCAGCACCTCACTTGAGTTGAGCACTTTGGGGGGTTTAGGGTTTAGGGTTTAGGGTTTAGGGTTTAGGGTTTAGGGTTTAGGGCTTGGGCGTTTGGGGTTTGGGGTTTGGGATTTCGGGTTTGCACCCACGGAGACCATTGACCATCAGTCTTAGAGCCTTCTCGAATACAAACTCCCGACACTAAAGCCCTGTATGATACAGGGCTTCCTCTGTAATTAGTCCTCAGGGCTTAGGGGTTTAGGGTTTAGGGTTTAGGGCAAGTTTGGAAGAAACGCAAGGCAGCCCTGCGTGAACCCTAAACCCTAAACCCTAAAACCCTAAACCCTAACTCCTAAACCCTTAACCCTAAACATGCATCATTTGGCTGGTTCTCTGAATCAGGGTCCTTGTAAAACACGGCACCTGATAATCAAGAACCCTTTAAGAGGGACCCGAATTTTACAGAACTAACCGTCTAGACCCAAAGGAAGAGAAAGGGTGCCCTTCCTGGGTTTCAAGGGGTTTAGGGTTTAGGGTTAGGGTTTAGGGTTTAGGGTTTAGGGTTTAGGGTTTAGGGTTTAGGGTTTAGGGTTTAGGGTTTAGGGTTTAGGGTTTAGGGTTTAGGGTTTAGGGTTTAGGGTTTAGGGTTTAGGGTTTAGGGTTTAGGGTTTAGGGTTTAGGGTTTAGGGTTTAGGGCCCGAAGCCCCTCAAACCGAAAGGTCTTTGACACTCGAGGGTTGAGGGCTTAGGGTTTAGGGATCTTTCAAAAAGACTTTTAGTAAAAGTATAGTGGCCTTTCACTATACTTTTAGTAAAAAGTATAGTGGCCTTTCACCCTAGGGTCTAGGGTTCAGGGTTTAGGTTTAAGGTTTAGGGTTGTGGTTCGGGTTTAGGGTTGAGGTTTTAGGATTTGGGGGCTTAGGCGTTCGGTTTAGGATTTGGGGTTTTGAGTTCTCACATTTAGGCTCCGAAATCCTAAGCCGGCAAAAACCTGAAGCCCTGTGGTATGAAGCAACTAGCCATTAAATCTCTTCGTCGCCCAGTAAGCATATTCCAAGAAGGGAAGGGGATTATAAGGGAACCCCAACCCTAGAAAAGGAAATAAGGGCCTAGTATTGCAATATGGGCACCGTTTTTGGGGGTTGGTTACTTTGTGCGGGAACCTTGAACCAAACAAAGGGAAAAGGGCACCACTGGGCTACCAAGTTTACCCTAAACCCTAAACCCCCCCAAACCCTAAACCTTTGCAGCAAGTGCACGGCCACTGCTGGCGCCGGTGGGAAGATGCTCCGGCGGAGGGTCGCAACAGTATCGTGCCTGACGTAGGGTTTGGGGCCAGGGATCAGTGCTTCGGGTTGAGGCCCTAAACCCTAAACCCTAAATTACCCCAAATTACCCTAAACCCTAAGCCCTAAACCCTAAACTCTTCTTAGCCCCTAGCCCCTATAACTTGGGGTCCATACGCTGCAGAAAGGACACGGCACAAATGATATGCCGGTCTGAAACTCTTCCCGCTAATGTCTAAAAGCTCTATAGAAAGTACTCTGCCAGAATTTAGGGTTTAGGCTTGAAGGGTAGTTTCGCAAACTTGTATGGGACGAGAGCCTCGAGATTCTCATCTGCACGTGAGCACTGGATGGCTACCCTAAACCCCAAACCCCAACCCAAAACCCCAAACCCCAAACCCTAAACCCTAAACCCTACTCGAAACTTGAGAACCTGAAGGCCCAAGGAACGCCCCAAGTCTCCCTGACAGCTGTGCGGCATTTCGACTTGGGACCCCGAAACAATGCAAAGCCCTGAAACCCTGAGAGGCTTGGAGGTTGAGGGGTTTAGGGTTTAGGAGTTTAGGGGTTTAGGGGTTTAGGGTTTAGGAGTTTAGGGTTTAGGGGTTTAGGGTTTAGGAGTTTAGGGTTTAGGGGTTTAGGGTTTAGGAGTTTAGGGTCTAGGGTTTGGGGTTTGGGGTTTAGGGTTTGGGGTTTAGGGCAGAACCGTATGGGGCAGCTGACCTTGTAATTTGGGGAGGGTTTCAAAGAATGGCACCCTAAAACCCCCATGCTTCAACCAGTCTATGGGAATATGAAATAGACATACAAAGAGCAGCCACTCGCCAAAATGATGATTCTGATGATGACATGACTGCCTTTTAACTCGTAGAAATATGGTACTCAATGACGACGAGCCATTGATGGTTTAGGCAAGCCACCCCATACCATAGTTGAGCCTCACCATTCGTACACTGTAATGAAGAGAGACGGTCCTCAATTGCTAGTTATGAATGCCCTGTGTTTTTCAAGCACGGAGTGCGCGACCCCTAAACCCAACCCTGAACCCTACGTCGTTCTTACAAGGGAAATGGGGACGAAGCTAGGTACCCTATCCCTCGAAGGGCATAGTATACGGGGGGTTATAAGGTACTTAAGTTGGCCTCATTCCCTCTAAACCTTAAACCCTCAACCCTCAACCCTTAACCCTGAACCTGGAGCCCGAACCCTAAACCCTAAACCCTAAACCCTAAACCCTAAACCCTAAACCCTGAACCCTAAACCCTAAACCCTAAACCCTAAACCCTAAACCCTAAACCCTAAACCCCAAGCAAGTATCCCTAGGGCCGGCGACCTTGTGACACCACTCAGGGCTGGCATCGGTCGCCTTTGGGGCCTGGACCTGCGGAGGCATTCTGAGGTTTAGGGCTTAGAGTTGTTTAGGGTTTAGGGTTTAAGGTTTAGGGTTTAGGGTTTAGGGTGTAGGGTTTAGGGTTTAGGGTTGAGGTCTTAGGATTTAGAGTTTAGGATTTAGGGTTTAGGAGTTAGGGCTTAGGGTTTAAGAGTTCAGGGTTGAGGGCTTGCAGTTTAGGATTTAGGGCCTAAAGCTGAAACTCCAGACCCCTTAGACCGAAACAAACTGTGGGAGCCCTAAGCCCGGCCGCCTCTCCCTCCGGTGGATCTTTGCCATCAGCCCCGGCAGCTCGCGGTGTGCGCTCCTCCGTTTAGGGGTTTTTGGGTTTAGGGCTTAGGGCTTAAGGTCTATAGAGGTTTCAGGGGTTTAAGGGTTTAGGGTTCTAGGGCTTAGGGCTTAAGGTCTATACAGGTTTTAGGAGTTTAAGGGTTTAGGGTTTGAGGGCTTAAGGTCCCGGGTTTAGGGTTGACGGAATTTAGCAATGTTAAGCCGTTGGGCATCGGGTTTATCGGCAGTTTGCTTAGCTTTAGAAAATTGGGGTTCGTAGGCCTGCTTCTCTGGATTGGGGAGGGGGGGGGGGGGGGCAAGACCAAGTCTTGAGAATCCAAGTGCAAACCGATACTTTTTTGGGCTTTTATTTCGGTATGGGCCCACTTGGGCCCAGGGTTTGGGGTTTAGGGTTTGGAGGGTCGGGTTTGGGGTTAGGGTTTAGGGTTTGGGGTCTGGGGTTGAGGGTTCTTTACGGGGTTTGGGCGGAATGCTTCTTTGTGAGGGCAGGGGACTGACCGGAAATAAAGGTTCCGTATGCGAACAAAATCAACCTAAGCCAAAACCCTCGCTTGGGGTTGAAAGACCCTAACTAAAGCCTACACCCTAGACCCTAAACCCAGAGTTGATAGCAATACTTCTCGGCAGGTCTGCGTAGGATTATTAAGGTTCAGCGTCGCTTCGTGGATTGTCATGCTTCGTCAAACCCCTGGAGGGCCGCATGAACACTGAAATTGGGGTCATATACCCTACACTACTATACTTCTTTTAAGGTTACAAGAATCATAATTAAAACCCTTTTAGGGTTCATTCGGTCCCCGAAGCCTAATCCTGGAACAAAACGTGGCACCCTAACCCTAACCCTAAACCCTAAACCCTAAACCCTAAACCCTCCTAAGCAGCCGGGTTTAGGCGAAAAGGCCTTATACACGCACCCTGCAGACGCCTTTAAAGCTTAAAACAAACAAAAACAATTAAACATCCCTCAACCTCATATAGCCCTTAAACCGCCCTAAGCCCCTAACCGCTATACCCCTGAACCCTGAACCCCCCCCTAAACCCCAAACCCTCAAGCCTCTACACCCTAACTAAACCCACACCGACCCACACCCCTGAAACCCTATAGACCTCGAGGTCAAGTAGGACAAACCACAGCCGCCAAGAAGAATTCAACAATACCCCAAACCCATGCCCCTGTACCTATAAGAGGAGACTATAAGGAATGATTTTGCCACATCCCCAATTTCTTTCAAGGGGTTTGCCCGAGGGGTATTCATGGGTTCCCCTACAACCCCCGTAGGTCCCCCCAATAATTAAGGCCGAGAAGGCAGAATTGAGCCTGATAAAGGTTATTTAAGGGGGGGGGACCCTAAACCCTAAACCTTAAACCCTAAACCCACGGGCAACCCCAAAATTTAAGGGAGGGGGGGTGAGTATAGAGGGAGGTACTAGGGAAACCCCAGGAGGTATGTCGACCATTTCGTAGGCACCCTAAGCCCGAAACCCGAAACCCTAAACCCGAAACCCTAAACCCTAAACCCGAAACCCTAAACCCGAAATATTGCTTAGGCAGCCTGGCATGGCAGCTGGGGATGGGACTTCCACCGCACCAGGGTCTGGCGCCTCTTTCGTGTCACCTCCAGCATTTGTTGATCTTGTCTTGGTGGCCCAGGAACCCGTGTAGGGTTTAGGGTGTAGGGTGTAGGGTGTAGGGTTTAGGGTTTAGGGTATAAACCCTAAACCCTAAACCCCAAGCCTCAAGGGATTAAGACTCGCACCCCTAAGGTTGTACCCCTAAGAGGCTCCCCTCCTCATATGGCCCTTATATTCTCTTAGAGGATCTTTAAAAGGGGGTCCCAAAACCCAAGGGTACAAGCTTAGGGGTCCAAGGTAAAATCCCATGAAGACCCTAAACCCTAAACCCTAAACCCTAAACCCTAAACCCTAAAACCTAAACCCTAGACCCCGGACTCCTAGACTCCTAGACTCTAAAAACCCTAATAGCCCTAAACCCTATCTCTGTGCCTTGACGCGGGTCTTGGGGTGGAGGGTTTAGGGTTTAAGGCTTAGGGTTTAGGGTTGACTGTAGGGTTTAGGGCGACTGTGCAGATTGAGGCCGACATCACGGTGAAGTTACCCAAGTTTAGGGTTTAGGGAGTGTTGAGTCTAGCGTTGAGGGTCTAGGAATTAGGGCTGAGGGTTCCAAAGCCTCGGGAATAGGGCTGTACAGAAGCTCTTCGAGCTCAGTCAAAACTCCCACAATGCTCTCCGCCCTGCACCCAAACACAAGTCACAGACAGAGCCCTCTTTCTTCTAGGGTGCAGGTAGGTATTTATATGGTGACTTCTCGAGATTATGCTCCCTTTTTTGGGGTTGCTGTGATAAGGCGGCCCCTGATATATAGGGCACCCAAAAAGAGGACCATCATTTTGAGAACTGGCCGTATATAGTAAACCCTATACCCTAAACCCTAAACCCGAAACCCACCATTTTGAGAACTGACCCTATGTAGTTCCCTATGGAATCACGGCATGCACCAGCTGGAACATCCCGCGGCATGTTCGCCCCGCGCCTTGGCTGGACACGTCTCTGGCCTTGGCAAGGCGGATTTAGGAGCCCTAAACCCTAAACCCTAAACCCTAAACCCTAAACCCTAAACCCTAAACCCTAAACCCTAAGCCCTAAGCCCTAAGCGCTAAGCGCTAAACTCTAGGGGATCTGGCTTTCTAGGGCTTCTTGAAGTTCAGGCCCTGCGGTGTTCGGGCTTGGGGTCCTTACCTCATGGCCCCTAAACCCGAAACCGAAACCTTAAACTCCATCAATCTTGTATCCTCTCATTTTTTTGGCTACAACTCTTGGTCTTTTGGATCCTTCTCTATGCGCAAGAGTAGCCCGGCTCAAAAAAAGGGGGGGGGGGCATTTTTTGAACTGAAGGGGTCTATATGGGAACATAACCCCGAACAGAGGGGAACAAAGGCAAAGCATCGGGGGCTTTATAGCACCCAGTATCCTTGATCTACCCCAAACCCAAAACACTAAACCCTACACCCTCAATCCTAAACCCTAAACCCTAAACCCTAAACCCTAAACCCGAAATGCTAACCTTGTAAATGAGGCTCCTCAAGCTGTCTCGAATCTCCACATCGCCCGGCCCGGCCCGCCTTTTTACTTCAGGGCCTAGAGCCCCATACCCCGAAACCCGACACCCCAAACCCCAAACCCTGAACCCTAAACCCTAACCCAAAGAACTCTAAACCCTAAACCCTAAACCCTAACCCCCCAAACTCTAAACCCTAAACCCTAAACCCTACCCCCTAAACCCCGTACCGTAGGCTGCCCCTCCTTGCTTTCGAACTCCTCTGCGTGCTCTCCGGCCTCCACAACGAGCAGGGCGTCTTTGGCTCCCGCAGCGATGTAGGGCATGCGCCTCTCAGCGGCATTTAGGATTTAGGGATTAGGGTTTAGGGTTTAGGGTCTAGGGTTTAGGGTTGAGGTTTGGGGTTTATTTAGGGTTCCTGGGTTGCCCAGGTTACCGGGCAACCCAGGAACCCTAAATCTGGAAGCCGAGCCCTATCTAAACCTGGCGTGCGTGGGGCTCTGTTGCGAAGTCGGGCCGGATGTTTCAGGGTGAGTTTAGGATTTAGGGCTGTGGGGGTCTAACCTTCAATCTTAGGAGGCAACACACCAGCGTAGTTGGTTCCATCCATCAACACCAGAAACATAAACCCAACTTAGGGTTATAGGGGTATAGAGGTTTAGGGTTTGGAGTTTAGAGGGTTTGGGGCTTAGGGTTTGGGGTTTGGGGTTGGGCGTTTAGGGTTTGGGGTCTGGGGTTTTAGGTGTAGGGTCTATACAGGAACCATTGCAGTGTCTTATAGGGCTTAGGGGTGAAGGGATGTTTGAGCCAAGCAGCATTGTGTCTGGTCCTCAGCCCAAGTTCACACTCTAAACCCTGAATTGGACTCCTAGACCCAAGAGCCTTTATAAACCCTAAACCCTAAACTCTAAACCCTCCCAAACCCGAAAACATGGGAATAAGGGCACTACTCTGGGTCCCAGGGTTTAGGGTTGAGGGTTTAGGTACACCCACCTTCGTTTTAGACTTGTGCTATCCACAGGGTCCATTTGTAGTATTATGGGTTTTGGGCACAGAGGGTTTGCTCACCACACGTCTTCTCTCAGGGATCTTAGGGTTTGCCCGCTTTGTTTAGCCCAAGACTGCCCCAAAAACCAAAATGCCTGCAAGAATCACCTCACGGCTTAGGAGCTGAGGGGCTTAAGCACTAATTATAGGGGTTTGCCCAAATCCCCTGGTTCAGGGCTTCAGGGCTCAGGCAAAAACCCTAAACCCTAAACCCTAAACCCTAAACCCTAAACCCTAAACCCTAAACCCTAAACCTCTCATCGGAGGGAGCAGGAGGCCTCCGCAGCTGGTCCAGGGTGATGTGGTCCGTCGTTCCGGCCAAGTCGGGCTCGTGCTCTTTGACACAGCAGCCTGTCTAAGGGTCGCTGCAGGGTTTAGGGTTTAGGGTTTAGGGTTTAGGGGAAGTTACATACTCCCTTAACTAGACCCAGGAGTAACCTAGGAATAAAAACGGTGCCCTTCTTGGTTTTAGGGGGGGGTTATAAGGGAACCCCAACCCGAAAAAAACAAATAAGGGCCTGCTCCGGGTCCTAGTGAACATGGCCCCTTAAAAAGGGGACCCTAAACCCTAAACCCTAAACCCTAAACCCTGTAACCCAAGGGCCCAGACGTCAGAACCCTTTGGAGAAGGTAAGGGACCATATATACATGGGGCGCATGTAGCTACCCTGAAAGTCTGAGGGCAGGGGGAATCCAGGAACTCTAGAATCCATACCCTAAACCCTAAACCCTAAACCCTAAACCCTAAAACCCTAAACCCTAAACCCTAAACCCCAAGCCCCAAAGCCGAAGCGGGCTTGAGGCTTAGGGTGCAAGGGTTGAAGGAGTCTGCGAAGGAGTTTAGGGATTTAAGGTTTAGAGTTTAGGGCCGTTTAGGGTTTAGGATTTAGGGTTTAGGATTTAGGGTTTAGGGATTGAAGGTTTAGAATAAGGGGGAACATCCAAGGTTTTGGGTTTAAGGGGTTAAGGGGCTTAAGGGCTTCGAAATGCTTGGGAGGTATGGGGATTTAAGGTTTACGGGGTTTCGGGGGCTAAGGGGTTCGAAATGAAGGTTGGGAGATAGTGTTTGTGGGGAGTGGGGATTTGCGGGTTCGCAGGTTAGGCTTTAAGGCCTTGCCCGCTCCCCCACCGCACCCCCCGACACCCGCCCCCCCGGCCCCCCACACCGAAAAAGGCCCCCAAAGCAGCAAAAACTGCAAAGCAAAACGCCTCGTAAAACCCTAAACCCTATAAGACCCATAACCTTGAAGCCACGATGATACTCGCAAGGGCGCGCCTGGGTGCCAAATGGGCGCGGCTGCAGCCGTTGCATTGCAGCAGGGATAGGCCAGGAATCCCTCATCATTGAGGACCTGGGTCTGGCGAGTTGCACGTCTGAAAACTTCACCAGGGGCCCTGAAACTTCAAACCCCCCTAAACTCCGAAATCCCCTGAACCCATCAACCCGAAAACCTTCCCCAAACCTTAAAGCCTAAACCCCTAAACCCCTAACCCAAAACCCGAGAGCATTCTTTTGGTATAGCATCGAAACCTGAAGGGGGTGGGAACTTCGAGTTGAAGCAGTTTGGGTTTGGGGTGCAGGGTTGAGGACTTGGCTTAGAAGCTTGAGGCTTGGAGTTTGGGTTTTGACCCTCAACCCTCAACCCTCAACCCTCAACCCTCAACCCTCAAGCCTCAACCCTAAACCCTAAACCCTAAACCCCTAAACCCCAAGCCTGCCATCCGGGGCGAAGAGGCGGGCTCCTGCGGATGGTACCGGCACTCACCCAGCTCCAGACCTCCGGCACGATAGGGGGTCATGAAAAAACTCCAGGGTTTAGGGTTTCGGGTTTCGGTTTAGGAATCAGGGTTTGGGGTACTGAGTTGTGCTTTAAACCCTTGTTCAAAATCATCTATGAATAGGTCCCCTATAAGGAGAGAAGGGAAATCAACACTTATCCCAAAGCACAACCCAGTACAGATTTGGGAATTTGGGACCGTAAAAGCCCACCACCACATCCACCACCGCCGCCGCCGCTGCCGCTACACAACAAGTCCTACTACAGTAAGTACCACTTCCACCATCACGACTACAGCGCCACTGCCAGCACCTGCTACTACGATGACGATGTCTACTCGAGTACAAAGATCTATGGCCTCATGAAGTCTGAGAAAGGGCATTGCCTGTTGAACCTTCTGGGCTTCTGGAGCTCTGGAGTTTTTTTTTTTTTTTTTTGGGGGGGGGGGGGGGGTGGGAGGGGGTTCTTAGAGGAAAGGTCATGACATGAGAACAGGTATCCCTAGCCCTAGACTATTCCTTAACTGGGGGGCATTGGTCTCTAGTTTAGGATGGGGGCCTGTGACCTGTCTGTTTGACGGGTCTTTTGGCATACTTATATGGACTCCTGGGTTAGGATATTTGTGGCTTCGGGACTCTTAAAACGGGCCCAGGGAAACTCTTGCCGAAACCTTAAACGCTAATTCCTCAACCCTAGCCCTTACAAACCCTCAACCCTTATAAGCCCTTAACCCTTAAAAATCCCAAACCTTCGTTAGCCCTAAACAATTGAAAATCCTACACCCGTACCCTGTAATTACCCGACAGGTTGAGTTTCTAGAGCCAAGAGTAGCCCAGGAACATTAAAAAAAGGGTACCCTTCTTGGTTTAAAGGGGCTGATGGGGCTAACCCTAAACCCTAAACCCTGAACCCTGAACCCTAAACCCTAAACCCTAAACCCTAAACCCAATAAGGAACCCAAAACTCAGGACCTGGCACCTGAACCCTGGTACAGCTTCTCGAGTCGGCCGGGGTGCCGCAGAAGTGCTTCTTGCAGATCTTGCACTGGAAGTACTGCAACCTGGGCAGTTCTAACCCTAAACCCTAAACCTAAACCCTAAACCCTAAACCCTAAACCCTAAACCCTAAACCCTAAACCCTAAACCCTAAACCCTAAACCCTAAACCCTACCTGGGGCTCTGTTCACCTACAGGCTGGTAATAGCTACCCTTAGTTAGTACGTATAACCCACAAAAACTGCAGGTAAAGAGGGTCCCAGCGAAGCCCTAAACCCTAAACCCTAAACCCTAAACCCTAAACCCTACAAGGGCTGCAGCCATTCAGCTGTTCAGGTGCCAAAGTGTTCAGCAACGCAGCAGGGTTTGGTACCTTTGGCTTGTTTAGGGTTCAGGGTTTGGGGTTTAGGGTTTATAAGGTTTAAGGTTTAGGGTTTAGCGTTTAGGGTTTAAGGTTTAGGGTTTAGGGCCTTAAGGACGCGTGCCGGTGCTTTCAAGGGCTCAGGAGGGGCCTGTAGGACTTTGCAGGGTTGCCGTTGCAGCAGCTTGTATACGGTTGGGGTTTAGGGCGTTTTTAGGGCGTACTATCGGGTGCTACATGGCCCCTCGTGTGGGCCCTTAGTTGAGGAACCCGTATATACCTCATATACCCTACGAAATTTAGGGGGCCTAGAACTTAGAACCCTGTGCAGAAGGTCCTTCCCATAAGAGGCCACGTAACTTCCCTGGGAGTTTCGAACCTACAGGCCATAGGGTTGGTAGTGTGTAGGGGGTTTTGGGGCTTAGGGCTTCGGGTTTAGGGTATAGGCGTGGAAGCTGTTTTTGCTTTGGGGCGGAGGGGGGGGGGGGGCCGAAACACCATAACCCTCATTTTAAGAACTTGCCTTAAGCAAAAAGAAAAAAAACATTTTCGGAGACCCATCTTCAATCCTAAGTCCTAGGCGGACACATTGAGAGGTTGGGTTTGGATGTTCTCCCCTACTAACAGATTCTAGTACCCCAGCCCCCCCCCCCCCCTATTATTATAATCCCTATTATAATCCCTAGTAAGGGCTGTTCGTATAACGGAGGAACCAAGGCTAGGGTTTTAAAGCACTCGAAGGGTTTGAAGCACAGCCGCCGCGCCCAGACCTTCCAGTAAAGCTCGTTCCAGGACCGTCCTCCGCGCTGCAAAAAGCGGGTTTACAGCTTTATCCCCTGAAAAACCTATACAGTACAAAGGACAACTTGAAGCAACAAACCTACTTGCTGGCTGAGTTATCTGTTGGGTTGGTTCCTGTAGAAGGGGAACCTTGAACCAACAAAAATGGAAAGGGTACAGCTGGGCTACCAAGCAGAGGGAAAGAGGTTAACATTTGGGATAATGCCCACAACACCTCGGTCAGATGCATCTTCGCAACACAAGACAAAAACAACAAGGCTAAACTTTGCTAGTTTGGCCTTTCAAGCCCTCTGATTATTTCCAAACTAAACCACCTTAAACCCGGTACTGACCGAGAATGATGAACGTGACCCTCAGTGGGACCAATGTTAGAGGAAGTGACCACACGTCTAGGTGGGTTGCCTAAGAACTCTTACGGATCCTTTCTATGCACCATATATGTATATTACATTTCGAAATTTTGTCTCGATTATTATGTCCAACTGAGCGCTTGCCTTTATTTGGTTATGCATGTATTGAAGGAGGGAGTCGAACTTTGGGCTTGTGGGAGTTTCCTGCTTGTGTGGGAGTAAGCTAGGTTGGGCCTTGGGAGATGTGTTTTCAGCCGCCCCTTCTTGTCTAGCGTACCCCCAAAAAAAGGGATCATGACTTAGAGAACTAACCATATATAGTGAAGACAAAGTTCGAGAACATTCTTAGGTGACCCACCTCAACCCACACCCTGAGAGGATCCAACAGTAGAGCCCCCAAATAGTGCCCTGTACGGCTATTGGTTCATTTCTAGGAACCCTAGAGTAGATCTACTTTTGGATCCTTCCAGGGGTCTGGGAACATGTGGGCTTTGTAAACAAGAGCTTTCTCTCTCTGCAGACCCCAAGACCCAAAAGAGCGACACCAGCCCAAATATGTCTCCAACCCCCGCCCCCCCCCCATCCCACGGTCTAGAGTTTGGGGTTTAGGGTTGAGGGTTTGATTATGGTTTAGGGTTTAGGGTTTAGGGTTTAGGGTTTAGGGTTTAGGGTTTAGGGTTTAGGGTTTAGGTCCAAGAAGCCGACTTGGTTCCAAAGCTGGTATAGGAAGACGCCCACATCCCAGGTCGTGTCTGTGCAGAAAGCGAGCGATCATGCTTTTCGGGGCTCTTAGAGTTTAGGGTTTAGGGTTTAGGGCTAGTGTCTTGCGTTTAGACTTTGGGACTTTGGGGGGTTTTCTAGAGTTTGGGGGTGTAACCTTCAAGCGTTCATGCTTTTGGGGCTCTTAGGGCCTCGGGGTTCAGCTTTCTGGTCTCTGGAGTTTGGGATTTTCATCGGGGGCCCTTAGAGCATCTCCGTTCAGACCGAAGCTTATAGCGGGCTGGTTCCTAGTAGGGAATGAGGGATAATGAGATAGCCTATATCCCCCCTATACATATCATATACATATATATATATATGTACATACACCCTTTAAGGGACTATACATGTAGGGTACCTCATTCCCCTGGGTCCTAGGTCGGAAACCCTAAATCCTAAACCTGAAGCCCTAATACCCTAATACCCTAAAACCCTAAAACCCTAAAACTCTGAAACCCTAAAACCCTAAAACCCTAAAACCCTAAAACCCTAAAACCCTAAAACCCTAAAACCCTAAAACCCTAAAGCCCTAAAACCCTAAAACCCTAAAACCCTAAACCCTAAACCCTAAAACCCTAGGCCCTAACCCCCCCCCCCCCCCCCCAAACAAAAAAAAAAAAAAGGCAGTGTTGCAGATCCACGGTTCTCTCGCCTATGGTGTGCTGCAAGACAAATGGCAGCTGCTGCTCGAAGCAAGGTTGGACACCACAACCTGACACGAAGCGTTCCAAGGGATAAGGGCGTTTGGGAGGGTTTAGGCTTTAGGCTTTAGGCTTTAGGCTTTAGGCTTTAGGCTTTAGGCTTTAGGCTTTAGGCTTTAGGCTTTAGGGTTTAGGGTTTAGGGTTTAGGGGTAAACCTCGTCCGGGCCCTCCCGCCCTCCCCGACACTCCCGAAACCCGAAATCCCAAATCCCCAGAACTTGTAACCCCAAACCCCAAACCCCAAACCCCAAACCCTTAACCCTAAACCCTAAACCCTAAACTGCAAAGGGACGTAGACAGCACCTTCTCGACGCCTGGGCCCGTGCTTGAAAGCTTCTTTTCGTGGCTGAACCTGGCATACCTGATATACCTTGCGGAGTAATCTACCAGCAGCTAAGGCGCAAATCCCATGTCAGTTCAGGGCTTAGGTCTTTGGATGTTTTGGGGCTTTCGTCTGGTGGGGACTACTTGAACCCTAAACCCTAAACCCTAAACCCTAAGCCCTAAACCCTAAACCCTAAACCCTAAACCCTAAACCCTAAACCCTAAACCCCGCCTGCAGTCTTTGGGCAGGCATTGGAGAGGCGTTCTCGGGTGGTGAAAAGGCGCTGGCACCGGGTACAGCAATGAAGCCTCAGCTGCCACGTGAGTTTGGGTTCAGGGTTTAGGGTTTAATTAGGGTTTAGGGTTTAGGGTTTAGGGTTTAGGGTTTAGGGTTTAGGGTTTAGGGTTTAGGGCTTAGGGTTTAGAATTTTGGGTTCAGGGGTCATGAGGCTTAGGGCCGTCCCGGGCAGGGGGCAGTGGGAGTGGCGACATATGCGGCATATGGGGCAAAGTTTGGGGTGTTGGAATGGGTACTTCTCAACATCGGGGCACCCCTCTTCTAGGAACCCTAAACCCTAAACCCTAAACCCTAAACCCTAAACCCTAAACATGGGTGCCAGGTACCCCTCAACAGGGGAGTGAGACCTAAATGGAGCAGTTTTAGTTTTAGGGTTTAGAATTGAGATGTTCCCCCCCCTTATACTCACAGCCCTTAGTAGGGATTATAATAGGGTGCAATCCCTAGTAAGGACTGCTCGTATAAGGGGGACTATCCCAGGTTCAGAAGTTAGGGTATGTAGGCTATGTATTGCGGGGGATTAGGCTGGGAGAGGACTGAACAGAGCAGCCTGACGCCTGAACCCCAGAGCCCTGTAGCATCCCACGATCCCAAAGCAGCCCAAACTCCAGAAGCCCTCCCCCCCAAAACATATCGCAAACTGTAGGCATAGCACGTCCCAAGCTTAGCCCTACACCCTCAAGCCTGAAACCCTGCTGTTGTAAACCCTTATTGTGAAGTGTGAGACTTTTGCGGTCGCATGTATGCCACTTTAGGGGTTTCTCGCGGGGCTGTACGGTGCAGGTCTAAACTCAGTTGCTTTCAGAATCGTTCAGGGCTAGGGTTTAGGGTTATTTGGGAGTTGGGGTTTTAAGGTTTAGGGTTTAGAGCATTCGGGGCGTGGGGCAAGAAACGCAACGTACTAGTAACAAACAACCAGGGCACGGAACACAGCAAGCTACTTCCATACAGTCCACAAGGCTGTCTGGGGCTTCGGGCCAAATCCTACTTCCCGGACCAAAAAGGCAACAGGAGTCCAGCCCAACTACACACATGACAGTATATCCCTCTGATTTCTGACCCCAAACTCCGGGCACTAAATCGACTGCATAAAGGGTGCTGAAGGGAGGGGGGACTCAAGGGAGTATGCAACCCAAGGTTCCCCTTGCAACCCAAGGTTCAATGATTCATACTTCCCAAGACTACTCCCTAAGTCTCCCCACTATACTCCCCCTGAGCTTCCCCAAGGCTCCCTAGCTGCCATGAACCCCAAACCAGAAGCAATCTATAAGTACTACGTCCACGCTGCAACTTGGAGTTAGAACCCATAGAGAAGCCACCACCTTCAGGCTGAACCTCCCTGAGAAACCCTGAGCAACTCTTAAAGCCCTTCTTAAACTCCTTCATCCTGTAACACCTCTATAAACCCCAAACCCGAAACCCCACACCCTAAACCCTAAACCCTAAGCCCTAAACCGTAAACCCTAAATCCTAAACCCCACTTCCTCCGAGCTGCACGCAGTCCCCCTGCGCGAGGAGGGCGTGAAGGAGATGGGCCCATAGTCGGCTCTTCAAACGATCCCTGGGGTCCTGAGAACTCCATTTTAAGTTTAGGGTTTAGGGTTTAGGGTTTAGGGTTTAGGGTTTAGGGTTTAGGGTTTAGGGTTTAGGGTTTAGGGTTTAGGGTTTAGGGTTTAGGGTTGAATAATGGGTGTTTAAGGGGTAGAAGAGCGGACCCCAGAAGGGACCCTGACTCTGATTCCCCCCGAATACCTCCTATATTATGTACCTTATATAGTCCCCATAATCTACCCTAAATAGGCCCTAAATAACCCCTAAGGTCCCTGACAAGGGTCCCTCCTTTGGTCGCTTGAGGTTTAGGGGTTCGAGTTTAGGGCATCTTAAGCCCCATAAACGTTGAACCCTGCATTTCCGGATGTCCAGAAGCACCTTAGAGCTAAACAAGGGCCTGAGGGTACCTCATTGTGTTTATAGGGGGGGGGGGTTGGGTTTAGGGGTTTTGGGCTTGGCTTGAGGATCTGTGGGTTTAGGAGTTGGGATGTGCTGTCAAACGAAGCATTTTAAAGGGTGCTTGGGGACTTGAGTTCGAGTCTTAGGTTTATCTGCGGGGCGTGCTGGCACAAGTTGTGAGAAGGCTGCTGAAACAAGTATGTCTAGACCCGGGAACTTCTCTAAGCTTGAGCGTTTATTCAAGGTAGAGGGCACCGGGTTTAGGGTCCAAGCTTCTCGGGTAAACCCTAAACCCTAAACCCTGAACCCTAAACAATGAACCCTAAACAATGAACCCTAAACCCTAAACCCTAAACCCTAAACCCTATAAACCCTAAACCCTAAACCCTAAACCCTCAGGGGGGTCCTCCAGCTCCTGGAGCTCCTCCGGCCGAAAGAGGGCAGCCAGCGACGCCACGAGGCGGTCTGGGATGCAGCCTGCGGATAGGGTTTAGGGTTTAGGGTTTAGGGTTTAGGGTTTAGGGTTTAGGGTTTAGGGTTTAGGGTTTAGGGTTTAGGGTTTAGGGTTTAGGGTTTAGGGCTTAGGGTTTAGGATTTAGGGTTTAGGGTTTAGGGTTTAGGGCCGAGGGTCAGGGTTTTGGGGTGGCTTCTAGGGGCTTTGTGATTTCTTGATTTATAAGGGCTTGGGGTTTAGGGTTTGGTATAGGGGCTTCAACAACTATGCACACATTGCTTGAGAAATGGGTTCTGAGACCTCCTAAGCACAGGGTTTAGGTTTAGGGTTTAGGGTTTAGGATATTTGGGGTTTAGGGCTTCCCTCCCTAGATTAACTGATGCGCAAAGCGTGGACTGATGCGCAAAGTGTGGATTCAGGATGAAAGGGTCTAGGGTTGAAGGTTTGGACAGTTTAGGGTTTAAGGTGTGGCCCACATCTGCACCTTCGTAGTTGAAGGATGCAGGGACAAACGCATTTGAAGGCGACTCATCTAGGAGATTTTGGCAAGAGTCCGAGCCCTTTCCCCAAGCCCCTAGACCCCTAAACCCTAAACCACAAACCCTAAACCCTAAACGCTAAATCCCTAAACCCTAAACGCTAAACCCTAAACCCTAAACCCTAAACCCAAACCCCAAACCCTAAACGCTAAACCCTAAACCCTAAACCCTAAACGCTAAAACCTAAACCCTGAACCTCAGACCCTAAACCCTAACAGTCCACGGCCCTGCCTAGGTCAAGCGGAAGCGGCAAGATGTCTGCGAGGGCATCATGCATCGCCTGCTCTGAGGAGGCAAGTCATGCTCATTACCCTATCATATAAAAAAAGAAAAATATGGAAATAAAAAAACCCTAAACCCGAAACCCGAAACCCTAAACCCTAAACCCAACCCTAAACCCTAAACCATGATTAAGCTACTCCGGGAGGCCTGACCCAGATGATGGGTACCTGAAGTCGTTAAGGTATACCTGAAGGCTCTAAGGTAGTTCCTGTTTGGTTTAGTTGTAGGGTTTTGGGTTTGGGGTTTAGGGTTTAGGGTTTAGGCTGTAGGGTTTAGGGTTTAGGCTGTAGGGCTTAGGGTAGGGGAGTCGAGTATACTACCCCACAGGTACTACATAGGAGCCTTTACTGCAGGGAATGTAGTTTCGATTCGACGTAGAGAGAATGAAGAGCTTAATGTAGGTGATTCTCTCGGCTCCTCTGCTAAGCCCTTGTGCACCCTACCTGGAATGGCTGCTATGCTCCGCTGGCATGATATGAACTTGCAGGTACAGAGTTTCTCTAGGCAGAGCCCCCCCCTAGCGCTAACTCCAGAACCTTGAACTCAAAACTCGAGATCAGGATGCTGCCCTTCAACTTTCAACCCTGCAGCCCTTTACCAGAGCACGTCCACCCTCCGCACGGCACCCCAACCGCAGACCGCAGTCACCCCGAAATTGGGGGGGGGGGGGATTAAATTATCTCGAGATATGATGATGAGATCGCATACCGTGTCTGCCCTATCTTCCGAGAAAGACTCGGAGGGTCTGTAGATCACGCACCCGTGAAGCTGTTTACCGTAAACCCTAAACCCTAAACCCTAAACACCAAGGTTAATGCGTAGCATGGCCTTCAGGCACTCGTCCACCAACCTTGCTGCTGGGAAGCTCTTGAGTCTAGGTTGCCCAGTAACCTAGGATGAAAAGGGTGCCCTCTTTTTTTGTGCTTAAAGGTGCTTGTAAGGGAACCAAAACCTCCCAAAAAAAGAACAAGGGCATTTTTTCTTGAAGGTGTTTATACGGGAACCTCACCCCCCCCCCCCCCCCCCAAAAAAAAAAAAAAAAAAGAGAGAGAGAGAGAGGAATAAAGGCACTACTGGGCATCCTAGGAGTTTGAAGTCTGGCTAGCCCGAAACCCTAAACCCTAAACCTTCAACCCTAAACCCTAAACCCTAGCCCTAAACCCTAAACCCAATGTTGCCCGAAAGAGTTTGTAGTTACATTTGGACTCGCCTGAGAGGGGAACAAGCCCGAGTTCCGGAAGACAGCGCCACCCTGCCAAAACCCTCAAGCCATAAACTAAACCCTAAACCCTAAACCCTAAACCCCAAAAAGCCACAGTTCTCTTCTAAACTTCATCCCAGACAAGCACTGCAAAACACGTCGCAGGAAAAGGCAGCGACCCCCAAAAAAACTCAAAGCCCTGAACCCTTAGACCATGCCGCAGCCCGAAAGGATCTGGTGGTTACACATTAGGGATAGCCCTGAACCCTACACTCAGGAGGGTAGCTATAAATTAAACTTTTAGCTGCCTTATTAAGAAACCCAATAAACCCAAAAAAGGTAAAGATCTAAAGTTACGGTAAAGTACCACAAAGAAGCCTGAACCCTGCACTGTTTAGGGTGTAGGGCTTAGCTTCTGGTCGTTGGGGGTTTTGGGTTTTAGGGCTTCGGGTGTACTAATTTAACCTTTCATACGGCCTTTGGAAAAAGCTGTTTGGGGGTAGGACTTAGGGCTTCGAACCTAAACCCTAAACCCTAAACCCTAAACCCTAAACCCTAAACCCCAAACCCTAGACCCTTGGCTTCAGGGTTTCAGACTTTGAGGTGTCAGGGGGTTCTGAGAAGAGGTTCTGACGCTCAGAGTGAAAATCCTACATCTCAAAACCTAGAATATCTTGGTACCCTCGTTCAGGGTTTAGGGATTCCGGTCTAGGGATACTTTTTGTTCCTGGGTTCCCCCGAAACTTGAGATAATTGCACCTAATTATGGTTATTTAAGGGGAAACATGGGGCCGGGGGGGGGGGGTGGGCGAGTATAGACCTGGAACCACTTTGGGCAGGCCCCGAAAAACTAAAACAAAAATGACCACCAAAAAAAGAACACAGGGTTTAGGGTTTAGGGTTTAGGGTTTAGGGTTTAGGGTTTAGGGTTTGGGTTTAGGGTTTAGGGTTTAGGTTGCAAGCTGCGCGGCTTTTGCATCTGGAGGAAGTCGGATGAGATGAGGATTGAGACGATGTCCTCAGGGTTCAGTCCAGTTCAGGGTTCAGGGTTTGGAGGGTTGAGTGCTAATTATATGAGCCCTAAACCCTATAAACCGCCTAAGCCCTGACCGTTAAGCGCTATGCCACATTTGGGTGCCCGTCCGCGAAAGCTTATCGAACTGCATACGCCCGACAAATTCCCGACCTCATGAACATTCTATTGAGAATCCTTTTAGGACTCTCTCGGGACACCTCGGAACCAGAGGAATACAATGGCCGGATGATATTAAGCGAATCCTAAGCTCTGTACTCTACTTAGGTTGCAGAGGAACCTAAGACAGAAATGGGTGCCCTTGCCTGCTTGATGGGGTTTAGTCAGCCAACGCCTCTCTAGGGAAGAAGGGCACCACTGGGCATCCTAGAGACGAAGCCTTTCAGCAACCCCTGGGCACAAGGTATGTACGTACAAGCTTCAGTTGCAGGATAGCAGGAACACAGAAACCTGAAATGAAGGTGATCTCCCGAAGGAAGGCCAGACCTGGTCGTCTGAAGGTGTGGAATAAGGCATCAGCCACTACTGGGGCAGAAGATGCATCCTCGAAAGCCGCACACCTAAACCCTCAACCATCAGCCCTAAATCCCTCAACCGTAAACTCCAGATATGTCCGAGGTGGCAGGAGTGTTGGGCATACCCTCTGACGATTCAAAGGCCCTCCACTCCTAAACTCCATTCCCCAAACCATATAAAACTTAAATGGGGCTTAGGGTTTAGAGGTTTAGGGTTTAGGGTTTAGGGTTTTGGATTTAGGGTTTAGCGTTTAGAGTTTGGGAGTTAGGGTTTAGGGTTTAGGGAGGACTTAGGGTTGGTCAACGCTAAACACTAGATCTCAAGCCCCGTCCTTCGCCTCGAGAGAGCTGACTTGTCGGGAGCCTTCCTCAGACTAAGGTTTAGGGTTTAGGGTTTACAGGGTTTGTAGGCTTGTAACTGTTGAACTCCTAGCTGAATGAGAGATGACAGATTTCGGGCTTTTGGGGCAGCTTCCCGAACACGAACTCTTAAGCCTAAAGACTTGGTCTAAACCCTAAACCCTAAACCCGAAACCTAAACCCGAAACCCTAAACCCTAAACCCTAGCCCTAAACCCTAAACCCTGAACCCTGAACCCTAGCCCCTGGGTCTAGGGTTCCGGTGGTAGGGGTTTCGAGTTTGGGCTGCAGGATCCGGACCCGAACACCGAAAACGTGCGACAACCAAGTAGGGTTTAGGGTTTAGGGTTTAGGGTTCAGGGTTTAGGGTTTAGGGTTTAGGGTTTAGGGTTTAGGGTTCGACAACCAAGAGCAGATCACACACTGTACTTTCTGTAGAACTATGGAAGATGTTGTGATTAGGGGGTTTGTGGTTTTGGGGCTATTATGTATGTGCACACACGTATATTTTATAGTATAGATATGATCTGCTTCTATGCATCTACTTGAAGATGGTAGCCTTGGATCAAATCGTCCTCTCTGTGGGCCGCTCTGTCCACAAATGGCATGTCTACACAACTATGGTGTCGCCCGTGTGGGGTTGTACCTACCCTAAACCCTAAACCCTAACCGGCTATTGCAGAAGAGCCGCCATGTACTCTGCCAGCCACTCGAATACCTGGTTAGTGGCTACGTGAAGCTTCCTGGATTTTTGCAGCCTGCAACCAAGGTTGCGTCCAGGCTCAGAAAGCCGCAACAACACCCTCCATCGCAGGCCCATTTTCCCTGAGGGTTCATGTACCTATATGGTATACACTTGCGCCCCAAAGCTGCTACACAGGAACCCCTTTAAGGCCCAAGTACCTACTACATAGGTACACGAACCCTTTGGGTTTTTGCGGAGTAATTACCTAATTTCATGCTTCGCAGGAAGTACTGGCCAAAAGCGGTACATACAAAAGAAGGAACGACAATTGGGGACCTCATCGAATCCTAATCCCGTGCCTGCCCATGCCTGCTTGCGCACCCTAAACCCTAAACCCTAAACCCTAAACCCTAAACCCTAAACCCTAAACCCTAAACCCTAAACCCTAAACCTTTAAACCCCAAACCCTAAACCTTTATACCCTAAACCCTAAACCCTAAACCCTAAACCCGAAACCCTAAACCCAAACCACAAAATGCCATCCCTGCATCTGCATTCTACGAGGCGCCTTGATATCGCAATGAACTGAAATCTCCACCTCATCGTCCTCAGCGCAGGGCCGCCAACATCATATCTAGACCCGAAGCACCTAAGCAGGTTTCGGTTTAGGATTTAGGGTTTAGGTTTTAGGGTTTAGGGTTTAGGGTTCAGGGTTCAGGGTTTAGGGTGGCAACATTTTAAACCCTAAATCCTGGACACTAAAATTCTACACCGAATTGCAGCACTGAAGAGTTGGAGGTGGACTACTGAGGTCCCACCTCGACCTTGAACTTATATGGGTTGGTGGTCTCTTTAAACTGGGTCTCTGTTTTTTACATGGGGCATATATTTTTGGGTTCTTACTAGGGTATCTAGGGGCTTTATTCAGGTATTAGGGTAACAGACAAAGAGGCCACCGGCCTTCATATCGGTGAACCCCTAAAGCCTAAACCCTAAATATCCCTAAATCCTAAAACCTAAACCCGTAAGCGCCGCGCTCAAGGCATGATTCGTCCTGAGCTCTCGCCTCAGGGCCTTTGAGTTTAGGGTTTTGGGGTTCTCTAGGGGCTTAGGGTTTAGGGTCTCTAGGGGCTTTGGGAACCCTAAACCCTAAGCCTTAAACCCCAAAGCCTCAACCTTATTATGAGCTTGTAAGCTCTAAGGACTCGTATGTCAGGGTCGTGGGCCCCAGAGCCTCACTACTTGAGTGTGGGTTTTGGGTTTTGGGTTTTGGGTTTTGGGTGTAGGGTTTACGGGAGCTATTTCGAGCCTCAAGATGAAAAGCCAGCAGAGCACTGGGCAACTTACCGAAACGGGGCTGTAAATCGCGTTCGTTGACGCCGCAAAAGTGCGAGTGTACCCGCAACACTACCCCCAAAAATAGAACATACTCTTCTGTATAAGGGCAATATTGGGATTATTATCTTTTTGGAGTGTTCTGAAGCAAATAGTAGAAAAGAAACACCAATGGAAAGGGCCATTTCTGAGACACATTCCCCCACCAAGGGCCGAGGGGCGCCCGGGAAACAAGCGTACAAGGGGCTGAAAGTTCCGATAAGGCTCAGCCCACAGGGTCCATTGGTAGTACTGTTCTGGAATTAGGTACCCAAAACCGACCACAAAATGTTTTTTGGGTACCTGATTCCATACTAGTACTACATTGGGATGTTCCCCCTTGTACTAGCAGTCCTTAGCCTTAATAGTCATTTAAGGACCCCCTACCTACCCCAAACCCAAACCCCAACCCAAAACCCTAAACCCTATGGACCCTCTGCGGTGAGCGCGAAGAACAGGTTCAACTGACCAGGCGCAACGGACACCCCGGCCAAGCAGGACTCGAAGTATCGCCTCAGAGGAGAAGTTCTGTAATTAGTTCTGAGCGCCCTACACCGGACCTTCGGAATATAGGCTATTGGTTTCTTTACCCTAAACCGTAAACCCTAAACCCTAAACCCTAATGTATTGCACCCATACCCGGAAGTCCTACAGCAACAACCTGGTTTGGGTTCTTCGATCCCAGGTGGATTGGGCTCACAGGGCTGGTGGGGTTTAGGGCTTAAGGCTTTGGTAGCGGGCCCGACACCCCAAAACCTAAACGGTTTAGGGTTTAGGGTGTTCAGGCCTCTAGGGATTTAAGGGGTTGCGGGTTTTTGTGGTTTACGGGGTTGCAGGGTTCGGGGGTTTAGGGTTTCAGGGGTTTAGGGGGTTTAGGTATCGATTCGGTTTTTAGAATTACTTGGCATTGGTGGACACAAAAAGGCCGCTGCAAGGGAGGTCCAGGCCTGGCTTTGGGTGCAGAGTTCAGGGCTTCGATCCTGATCCCGCCTGCATTCTCGCCCTTTTGGACTGAATGGGTTTAGGGTTTAGGGTTTGGGGTTTATAAGGGTTTAGGGGATTTAGGGCAATGTCCTCCAAACCAGTCCAGATTCATCTGATGAGGCAGCGGAAGTTTTGTGCTTCCAGCTGCTCTTTGAGCGCCTGGAAGGCTGGCCGGTATGCAGGGACATGTTCTTGACAGGCCAACAGGACTTGCGCCAACGCAGTCCCAAGTCGTCGAAGAGGGCGACACAGACAAATCCGTACTGACATAGCCATCTACTCGAACTGCCCGGCCTCGTGCGATCGAAACAGCTCTTCCCAGAGAAGGCAAGATTTAGGGGTCGAGGGTTCTAGGGGTTCAGGGGTGCAGGTTTTGAGAGCTTTTCGGCGTCCCTAACCGCTACCACAAGAAAGTAGTAGGAGTTCGAAGAGCCCCTTATATAGAGATCCCTGTAAGGACTCTAGTCACCCAACCAAGGGTTTGGGAGAGGGGGGCCGCATCGTTGCCTCTGTAAGGCCAAAAAACTCAAGTTTCACCATGCCCGGACGGTGCCTGCGCCAAGAAAGGCTAGGATACCGAAACAAATGTTTTTAGGATTTAGGGCGGTCTCGCGGTCTCCCCAGAAATGCTCAGGCAACTTTCACTCATGCGCTCTGCACAAGAAGCCGATTGCGTTTAAGATCGCGTCCTTCACCCACACCCCGTAGAACGATCTGGTTCTGCCACGTCTTCTCTCAAATCAAAGACAGTTGATCGAACATCGCACACAAATGAAGTTGAGTTTGGGTTGAGCCCCAACCGCTGGGCCACGCTAAGCCCTGCAGAAGCCCTGTAGCTACCCTAAAACATACACCCAGTCCGAAGGCGTGAGCGCAAACGGTTTAGAAGTCCAAGATGTTTAGGGTTCGCGTTTAGAAAATCACGCCCTTGTACTAAACCCAGGACTCTGCAAATAGACCAACCCCCCACCCCCACTGCATTGCCCGGTCACATGTGTTCAAGCAGGAGCGAGTGCTTGCAGAGGAAGTCACGACGAATCTGCCTCACGTCGTCAATGACGTGGATGACCTTGCCGAGTTCCAAACATCACAGGAACTATCGGGTATAAACTCTCAACCCTGGTCAGGGTTTGAGGTTTCACGTTTCAAGGTTCAGAAACCCTAAACCCTATAGGATAACGATGCAAAGGAGGGATCCCCCAAGCTTATGCATCCTCACTCTCGGCCGAGGGAGTGGCCGTATCGCCATCACCGCTGTTGAGTCCCGGTGCACCTGGAAGACACGGGAGGTTAGGCTGTTGCGTATGGGGCTCCCTGAGCAGAACTTAGGGTTCTTGGTAACCCTGAACCCCAAACCCCAAACCCCAAACCCCAAACCCTAAACCCTAAACCCTAAACCCTAAACCCTAAACCCTAAACCCTAAACCCTAAACCCTAAACCCTAAACCCAACACTCCTTCCAAGCGCTGCGAGCCTTCTTCGGCGGCGGCAACGGGAGCGGGCGGAGGGAGCTGCTCAGCGGCGGCCTGCAGCTCAAGGGTTTAGGGTTTAGGGTTTAGGGTTTAGGGTTTAGGGTGAGGGAATCTACTTTGGACCCCTAAGGTTGAATTCTTTCTTAAGATCCCCTCCAAGGGAATATAAGGGCCATATTTGGAGTATGCTCAGGGGCACCTTAAGCGGCACCACCTTGGGGGGTACGAGTCTTAATCCCTAAGCGGAGCTTGGGGGCCGTTGCGAGGCTGAGGGCTGGTAGGGTTTAGGGTTTAGGGTTTAGGGTTTAGGGTTTAGGGTTTAGGGTTTAGGGTTTAGGGTTTAGGGTTTAGGGTTTAGGGTTTGGGGTGTAGGGTTTAGGGTTTAGGGTTTGGGGTGTAGGGTTTAGGGTTTAGGCCTTAGGGTTTAGGGTTAGGGTTTCGGGTTCAGGTTTTATAAAAAACGTACAGAGTTTGGGCACCCAAAAGATTGGACCCAAAGTTTTGACCGAAACGCTTTGAAGGAAAGATTGAACGGTTGAGGGTAGCGGTTTAGGGTTTAGGGTTCAGGGTGTTTATACAAGCAATTCTGAAAGCTCCGACTGGTGTCGCATACAACTTCCATTTACGTTGTCTTGTGGGGCAGGGTTTCATCCCAGGGAAGTTACATGGTCTCTTAGTATGGGCCCTTAAAAAGGGTACTCCGTATATGCCCCTTATAGACTCCATCCAAATGAAGGGCCCTTACATGAGAACCCTGTAACTGAGGTAAGGGACCATATGAAGGGCCCATGAAACTAAGGTTTAGGGCTAGCTCAGCCCCTTACTGTCTGACCCTCTGGGGCTCATGGGGTTTAGGGCTTGGGGTCAACAAATTTTAGAGCATTTTAGGGCGCTGGTTTTCATGTCAAATATCTGCAAAGCCCCAACTTAAGCTCAGGGCTTAGGGCTTCAGGCTTAGGGCTTAGGGTATGTGGCTTAGGGTTGACCCACTGCATGCCTAAGCCCTAAACAGCAAATGCGATTCCCAACCCATCCCACTACCGCAACCATTTACTTGGGGTTTAGGAATTAGGGGGTTGAGGATCTTAGGGTTGAGGGCTTTAGGGGTTTACGATCTAGATGGCTTGGGGCTACATGCTGGTTTCTAAACCCTAACCCCTAAACCCTAACCCCAAACCC